AAATAAATTGATGGTTGTCGAATGCCTGCAACAAACAAATGGGTTAGTAACAAGAGAAAGGACGAGTACGAGACGCGCGACCACCCTTCGCGACGGTTCACGAGAAAGTGAGGAAGCTAACGCCGTTATGTATTGGGCGTACGCAGGTTTGTTCCTGTTGAATTGTTTTTGCCGGCTTGAACAACCTTCCTTGACGACCGCAACGTCACTAGCGCGTTGGACCGACGGAGAGCACCGATACCGCGGCACTCTCTACCGTACTATCTCGCTCGCCCACCTCCCCCCATAGACCACCGAAATTCGTCGGCTCGCGTCACACCGACGGAGAGCACCGATACCGCGGCTCGCTCTACCGCTCTCGCTCTCTCCCGTTTACTCGCTCCGACCATGTTCGGCATCGTTCGGTACACGTCGACACCGACGGAGAGCACCGATACCGCGGCTCGCTCTTCCCCAAATAAATATCATTTTTAAATAATTCGTTTAAACGACATGTTCTTTTTAAAGTTTTAGCTCTCCAGTATAAATTCCTAAGACCGTTATTTATTATTCATTACATATCGTTAAATACGCTTTTTCACATCACAAAATAATTGCAAATATGAAACTTCTTTACCTCTTCTTGAACATTCTAATTTCATAGCCCTAAACTGAGTACCTGAAAGTATTTCATTGAATTTGTATAAAAGATTTTACTTTAAGATAATACTTCATTTGTACTAATAATACTCAGAATTCATACTTTATCGGTAACGTCGGGTATTGACATTAAAATGGTAAGGGGGCTTCCGACGCCCTCGAAGCATGGAACAGAAAATTACATTGCATGTTAGGTCTATTCTTATATCTCGTCTGTGTCTTAATCTTCGAATATTTTACAGCCATGTGTAAACAATAAAAAAACAATGGTATCTATACTTCAATATTTAATTTGCAATTTCAGCACTACAGAAATAACCATTGATAGATTTCTACGGCACGCGTTATTATATTGATTAGCGTGGTATCTCAATCTCTTCAACAGTTTAAACATTACTTACACACGATAAACTTCTCCGATTATCCAGCAATATAGCGTACTTATTCAGTATACATATAAAAACAACAATTACATAAAATTCTAAAAATTTAAGATAAAAAAAATATACCATCTAAAGACCATTCACAGGTATCCAGGTTTTCTTCGGTTCGTTCTGTTTTACCGACAGTGCTGCGCGTGGACGGTCAAGTTTAGTGACGATAATCCACCTTGTAAACGTCTTAAGAATAAACAAAATAGAAATTCCGTTATTCTCCCACCCATATGGTCGGTCGCAGAATTTCCCGGAGAATTTCTACCTGCATATACCCGTGAAAGGTAGAATGAAAACAGTCGACCGCTGATTTGACTAGCGCGGTACTCCACCATTACTGTCAGTCAAGGAGTTTTTGTGGCTAGACGAGGACGAGAGGGCAGTACAGTTTTGGTGCGGCTCTGTGGCACCTGTGCGGTTCGAGCATTTCTGTTGGCGTGCATTTTTCCTGGCCGTCGTGATTGTCGTCCGGGAGTACCTGTAAACAATCGTTAGACGCGTTCCATCGTCGATTTTCCTGGATCGCATCGACGCGAGAGGCCGCACGGATGTGTCCTTAGTGTTACACGTGTTCTTTACGTACGCGCAGTGGGAAAGAGAGGCACGCCGAGGACGAAGAAGAGGAGGACGAAGAAGTAGAAGATGAGCAAGACGTGCGCCCGCTGCGAGAAAACGGTCTACCCGATCGAGGAGCTCAAGTGCCTGGACAAGGTATGTTTCTGCGTCTTAGAACTTTTAAAAACTGTATTCTTCATTCTCCTACGAATTCCTACATATTTCTTACTGAATATAAAGTAGTGCCATACACTCGGAACGTATTTTATAGTGTGATTCGAAGTTTGACTTTATGATATTTAATCTGCATCTAGAGGTTATCTTCGTTCAGGTCTGTTCTTGGAAGTCTGTAGATTTTATGCTATTATGGTGTAAACCGCAAAGAAACAATATTTTCCACGGAGATTGATCTTGTTTTTACCATATAAAATATTATTTTTACCGTAATAGTCTACGTAATTGATTTCAGGAAAAATAGTGTTTTATTCTGGTTATTGAAAAATGGTCCATGAAAGTGGGAGTTTACACAGTTTAGTTCAATTAAAAGACTCGTAACATTTAAATGTATCTTTTTTCCGTGCACACCAGAGTAAAATCTATAATCAGAAACTTAAATACTCACTTAGTGAGTATAGATACTAATTTATATGAAAATCTACAAAACATAGTAGTCTCAAAGTTTGTTTTCTACTTGTCAATGAAAATGCTACCTTCAGTCTCAATTAGTTGATCCAAACTTTTGAAGCATATTCACGTTTGACATTCGTCCGACTTGAACTTTGTACTTTGAAAATTAAATCGTAATCTTCGTCGCGAGATAAGACTTT